CCCCCCCCCCCCCCCCGCTCGCCAACATTTTTCGGGGAATTTTTCGAAAAAAAACGGTAAAATTGGGAAAATATAGCACCGTGGTAATTTCAGACCCAAAATAGTAATTTTTGAAACCGGATGTGGTAATTTGGCCTCAAAAAACCTGGTCACACTGGATATGAATTATTAAGTTTTCAAACTTCAAAGAAGCTTTTTTTGTAAATTATGAAGCAAATTTTGAAAAATGTTATCTTCAATATTCCAAACGATATTTGATTCGAAATAAAAATGACAAATAAAAACATCGTATTACGAAGGTATATGTGGCAATTATAGTTTTATATTCTCAACTTGTTTTTAATTTTCGGTATAATATATCATTTATAGACCCTCCGCTCAGGGAATTCGGCGAAATATTACTCAAAAAATCATCACTTCGAAATATATCACTTCGGGTAATATTTCGCCGAATCCCCTCGCTCCAGGTCTATAACTTAACATAATAATGTTTTGTAGTTATTTGTAGTGTAGTGTGTATAATATATTTTGTTATATAATATCATGTAATCCACACGCCCCTCGTGGAAATCAGCATATAGTCGACGGGGCCAGCATGTGATCTTTTAAATAAAGTTTTACCTGCCTATATATATACCTATCAAGCTCGATCTGATGTAGTTTGTGTTATCAGCCAGAGCTTTCGGCTTTGGTGATAACACAAACTTCGGGATTCAGATAATTCTTCATATCATGCTCAACCTCATTTAATAATTAATTTACTAATTGTTAAATATTAAACATTTTCCCAAGCAGCAGCATGATTTTGATATGCTATCCTCGCTCGCTGCCGGATGCGCAGCAATAAATGTATGAAACTATATATAGCACGTAACAAAGGGATTATGTTTTAAACAGACTATTGCAGAATGGAGATCTGTATTCTACATTTCTGGTGGTATCTCGCTCCTTGGTTGTATTGTATTTGGTCTTCTTGCGACTGGTGTTAAGCAAGATTGGAATGATAATGAATATAAAGTTGTACCTAGCTCTATCAACTCACCAGATTGAATCATGGATTGATTAGTAGGGATCTTTCTGAGGCTATATTAATATAGAAGTATTAGAAGGATACAAGGATTTTATCAAATATACAGGGTGTATAAAAAAAAATGAACAGATTTGAAATTCGGCTCTCAATTTCGCAAAACAGCTATTAGCATCCAGTTTTTGATATATATAGTTTCTTTGGGTACTTAAAATGTAGAACAATAAAAAAAATTCTCGAACTCAAATTTTGTAAACCAGGGGTGTGTCTGCCAACAAACTAAAAATGGCTTGCGCACGAAATTTAAAAGCTTTAATCACATTTTGAGTTGATAGATGGAAAATTTGTTGGGTTTTTAATTACTGTACAAAATTTCAGACAATTTGCTTTAGTTTAAGTATTTTGCTTTAGTTTAAGTTTAACTATTCATCGTTCTCAAAAAAATTAAAGAGCCTTTCGCACGCTTAATTAATGCATTTACCTAATTTGCATATTGCTGACATATGCAAATTAGGCAAAGGCATTAATTAGCATGCAAATAGATGATTTTTTAACGGAAAAAATGTACGTTTGCGTAAATAGTTAAAGGGCTACTAAAGCAAATTGTCTGAAATTTTGTACAATAATTAAAAACCCAACAAATGTTCCATCTATTAACTTAAAATATGATTAAAGCTTTTAAATTTCGTGCACAAGCCATTTTTAGTTTGTTGGAAAAAACACACACCCCTGCCCCTGGTTCACATTTTATTATTCTACATTATAAGTACCCAAAGAAGCTATATACATCAAAAACTGGATACTAATAGCTGTTTTGCGAAATTAAGAGCAATTTCAAATCTGTTCTGTTTTTTTTATACATTGCCCTGTATAATGCCCAGGGCCCGCAGTTAAAGCTGGCCCCAAGTTAAAAAATAAAGTAGAATATTCACATGACAGATAAGGAAATCACGAAGGCCCCAAATATTGTCCCGGGGCCCGCATGTATTGCCCTTGGGCGCATATATATATAAAAACATGTTTTAATTAAGAAAAAGTCAAAAATGCACTTTCTACATATATAACTAATACAAAAAACGCTTCTCATGTAAACAGAATTATGTTAATCTAACTTTTCTTCTTATCTATTCAATTATAGCTATACCTTTAATTATCTATTGCACATTATATTAAATCAATTTTGTAAATTAAATACGATATATACTATATACGATATCGACGTGATGTTAAATCTATTAATTTACTATCAAGGCTATTCCAAACGTCCATCCCTTTCACTGAAAGCGAGTGGCTGACGTTATAGTTAGTTCTTTTATATGGTTTGTGAATTGTGTAGTTTAGTCGAGTTTCGAGTATTGTGCTGGTGAATTTGGCTATTTGTAATAAAAACATTTGTGAAGAAATCAGTTGGCAAGTTATTTAAATGCCGGATGATATCGGAACATAAAAAGACTTGTGAGATATTTATTTAAGTATTTAACTTACTTAGATTCAAGATCTGAAGGTCAATAAATATTTTTTCAGCGTGAGAATATTTTTTCAGTGTGTAGGACTGGAATGTCATGACATTACTCATTAGTCGAACTATTTTCTTTTGAATATTGATTAGTTTTTGAATTCGCTTTTTGTATGTAGACTGCTCCCATAGATATCTTATACAGCTATTTCAATTAAGGTTGTCCCCCGAGCAAAGCGGAAAAGTCGAATACGAGCGCGAAAGGCTGCTGGGATTCGCCAATAAATGAATGAATTTATTAGCGATTCCCAGCAGCCTTTCGCGCTCGTGTTCGACTTTTCCGCTTTGCTAGGGGGACAACCTTAATTGAAATAGCTGTATACACTAGATAGCGCATCTCTTTTAGTAAAATTGAAGCCAAGAATATTCCAGCGGTTACCCCTATTTGAATATATGGCGGCCATGTTGGAGTTTCCCACTCGCTAATAAACGCTTAAAAAACAACAATAAATTTCATCATTTGAATAGTTTGAAAATGTATTTGGAATAGGTTTAACTTAATGTTTAAGCGCGACCCTAGTATTGAACCTTGTGGGACCCCAGTTTGTACCATAATTTAGCAGTTTTCGCTTGACATTACTTGTTTATATTTTACAATTTGTTCCCTGTTTGTGAGGTTCCGTAATACTCTAATTTACTAATGTCTAATGAGAATCTTGTGATCAATATGGTATCAAACGCTTTTGACAAATCTAGGAAAATGCCAACGGTGTCGGTGCATAGTTTCCTTGATCAATTTCTTTTGTAATTTTGTTAACAAGTTCGATTATTGCAAGTTCAGTTGATCTGTTTTTTTCTCAACCCATCATAATATTGATGGTCAGATAAAATTCTATTCTTTACAACATAATTTATTAATATAATCGTTTGTACATGCGTTTTCAAGTATTTTAGCAAAACAATTAGTTAAAACTGATATTGGTCTGTAGTTTTCAAATTTGTTTTCTTCGTTTGATGTAAATATAGGTGTTACGATAGGGACGTTTTTATCTGTTTAGGGATAATACCTGTAGTAAATGTTAATTGAATATATGTGTATTAAAGTGGTTTTGATATTACTTCACTCACCTGTTTAATAATTTTCGCATTGAGACTATCATATCCCGGGCTTTTATTTCAATTTAAATAGTCATGTATTTTATTTTCCACCTCTATTTCTGTTATAGGATCAAGAAACATACTATCAAAATAATTATCAGTTAAATATTTGCTAAAATTTGGCTTAGGTGCATGCGTAATTTCCTTCGCTAGGTACGTTGGGTCCGATATTAATAAAGTAGTTGTTGAATTTATTGGCAATTTCCTTTGGGTTTATAATAGAATCTGTTGAATTAGAGTCAATAAATTCATTTGAGATTTCATTTTTCTTTGTTTCCTGTTTATTATCTCATTTAGAGTTTTCCACATCATTTTGGAATCGTGCTTATATTTAATTAATTCACTGGGAAAAAAATGTGAAATCCATACAGCACACTAGTCACTATGTCTATGAAATTTGTGATAGTATATCCACACTATTTCCATACTATATCCATAGTATGGAAATATACAATTATTATGGATAATCAAAATCCGTTCTATTTGCAATAAAGTTCCATACAATTTCCATTCTATGCATGACCTTCTATGGATTTAGTTCAAAATTTTCCAGTGATTCTTGTTCATAATAATTTTTTTTGGATAATCTAATTACATGATTTGGTTTGTTTTTATATTTTTTGTATACATTCTCATTTATTTTACTTAAATCGGATAAGTATTTGTTGTATATTTATTTTTCTTTTTGATTGATTTTAAAACACATTTTGTTATCCATGGACTTCCATATTTATTAATGTTCATTTTTACTTTTGATCTTTTAAACAATTTTTGATGTTGAAACAATGGTCAATGTTTGGAAAATCTGGGCGAGGGGTTCTAGTATATATAATAATATATACATGAGCTATATAATATCATTTTCATTTGATGTTTCCCTGCACTCCTGCAGATCCATAGCTCTGTCATGCTCTGCCTCTGACTGTTAAAAGGCAGTAAGGGAATCAACACTGAATTTGGTTTTATAAAGAAGCAAACATTGCTGTAAATGTTAGGGAAAAGTAGTATTTAAAAGCAGATAAAGGTATATTTTAATCAGAGGTGTAGCCAGGGCTGGGGCCGGGGGGCCCGCACCGCCCCTCTGGCAAAATTTTGCCCCCCCCCCTGATAAAATGTATTGTATAAAAAATGGAATCCTTGATTATATAGCTTTATGCTGTCAATAATGCAAAATTCTGTAGAATATATGCTTTGCTGCGCATCAGTGTAAAACCTAAAATCTTGTTCGCTTATTTGCGGCACACAGCTTGAAACACATACCTTTTCTAACCCTAATTATTTCAATATGTATTATATGAGGGTTAGATGAAGTTTAAGCCAATCTGTTTTTTCACTGCACAGAATACCCAGCACTGCACAGAATGCCTTGCGCGAACTTTACGTTTCGAGTCACTGGCGGCTTGGCCCCCCCTGGGTTTTTGCCCCCCCCCGACCAAAAATCCTGGCTACGCCTCCGAATTTTAATGGGGCTATTCCTTGATTTAAAATAGCTAAAGCATTTATTCACAATCATTCTATGTCACAAAATTGTCACCGTCTGGAATTTTATAGACCTACTTCATTTTTGCAAGATGAAGTACTTACCATTTCTGTCGTGCAGTGGCCATTGATTGACAATGAAATATTTGAAAATATGCAAATACAATTGTAAATTCATTTGAATATTAAAATTTTTGTTTGACGACAACGGAAAATCGTGTAGATCGTGTAGGAGTGAAATGCTTACATGCGAAGATCAACATCTCATGGCAACAGAAATGGACATTCGTACACATTAGTGTATAAAAAGAATACAGTCAATTATAAAAGTAAGGAAATATAAAACATTGACATGTGACCATTTTTCTACTAATTTGGTATACATGAAATACTTTGCTCATTTCTCAAAGAAAGGCTGTTATTGATATGTTGTGTAGGTGTGCAGCTGCCATATTGAATGGCCTTATGTACTCGTACAATCATGTATTTTCAAATATAACTTCACAGTATCTTAGAAACTTCTGTGGTTTATATTATATATGGACTGGTCAGAGCCTTCTCTTTATAATCAAACTTCATCACTTTAATACTTTTATACTAGCTTTAAATTTTAAAGCTTTAAATTTTAAAGCTAGTATAAAAGTATTAAAGTGATGAAGTTTGATTTGGACCATTTTTGATTTGTAGCATTTAATATAATTGTTTATATCAGGAGTTCCATCATGCTTGAAGGCAAACGAAATGTTAAGATGGAAGAGACTCTGGTCAAATTGATTGTGAATATTATATACTTGATTAGGTTCAGAATCTGAACCACATGCACTTGTGATTGGTTATTTGTAAATTAAAATATCATGTCAAACTGGTTTGGGAAATATATGTGTACAGTAGCTAATTATATTCTGCAAATGTATATTATATGTACTGTACTTGGTATCATGTTATAATTAGCTATATATTTTACATGTTTATTTCCAATAACCTGAACCTAAATATCAAGTATGTCTGAACCTAAATATCAAGTATGGAAGTGATATTTGCAATCAGTTTGACCAGAAGCTCTTCCATCTTGGTGTTAATTATTCTGCATTTTTTCGGGGCTTCTGGAACCAGGGTATAGGTTGATCGATAGTGCCTGTAAATGCCACTTCAATTCTCTTCAAGAAACTAGTAAAATTGTTTTGTTCTCTACAGTACCAGAATATGATATAGTTTCAAATATCTTTGAGGATTATTCTGCAGTGAAGAATTGTTCACACAGCTTTGAAGTGATTGGATGATATATCTAGCTGGATTATTGGGCCTAGTTCATTGATCTGTTAATTTAAGGCTTAAATAGAGAATAATACATGGGTGCGCAGAAATACCAGATTTATTTCTCGTGTTGAACATGATATCTCGCAAGTGATCATGTTCAACACAAGAAATAAATCTGGTATTTCCAAGCACCCATGTGGATGTATTTTTCTGTTTATTATATACAGGACAGTCTTTGAAAGTGATAATTTTTACAGAAAAGCGATAATTGAAAAGCGATAATTTTCACATGTGAGATTATCATAAATAATCTCACATGTGAGATTATCACTTTTATCAGTGCTCGAAATCTCTATAAAGCAGTATACTTTATATAATAAATAAGTATAATATATGGTACCGATCGAATCAAGAATGTCAGCCATATTACTTGTGTTAACTTTATACTAAGACTGACAATATGTCAAATCAGGCATTTAGAGAGTGGCTTAGTTTGCAACTGTATGGCATGCATGCTGTTTTATTTAGAGGTGTACCAGAGAAAGCTTTTTTGAAAAATATATGACTGAATTATCCAGCTGATCGAATACCGGACATTTTTTATATAAGGTTCGGGCTTTCATTTGAGATAAAATAATGATTTTATAAAGTGAGAGTGTTTGTAATATTTTGACTTGAAATAATAGGAAAGAACTTTGCAGTGTAACATCAATAAACTTGCATATAATTGCAAAAGCCTTGCCCACATACAACTTTTAAAGTAGAATCCACTTTTCTCTGTTATAATGTGTTAGAACATCAGGCTTTCTTGCCATCCTACTTTTCCTACTTTTTCCTACTTTTCTTCAACTTTCCTACTTTTCCTATTTTTTGTTAAAAATTGCTTGATTTTCCTACTTTTTCCTACTTTTTCTCATAAAATCCTACTTTTTTAAGACAGCTTGGGGAGTCAGTATGTTATGGCTCTCGTAATTAGATCTATAGGACTCGTAATTTTTATTCCCTATTTGTGTCCCAGATGATAAGATCTCAGGAGGAGAAGAAGTACATTTTCCGAGTATATAATTTAATAGCATCTCTAGAATCATAATCAATAAATTAATAAAGACTCTGAAAGTGCCATTTCCGACGATCTAGAGATTCCAAATATTCACCCCCTCAGTTAATCAAGCATCATATATACAGGGCCGTAGCAACCGGGGGGGGGCAATAATTTGCTAATAATAATTTTTTTTCAAAATCATGCAGACCTTTATCATTTAATCCATGACGAACTGCAAAGAATGAAGATATTACCCATACTTTCCTGCAACTTATCCAATATATAGTTAATTAAATACGCCTTCGCCCATTTAGTACTACTAAATTGTAAATTTCGACATACTAAAACGCTGTTTTCTGACCATCAGAATTCTGTCAAATCTTCCCCAAAGTCCAGGAAATGGCATTTCAGAGACTCTAAATTTAAAAATTTCCTCGGGCCTTCGGCCCTCGCTTTCAGCCCCCCAATCGAAAAGAGCTTCCTACGGCCCTGATATATGCTCCTGCCGCAGTGTGGATTGGTGTATTGTGTAGCCCAATACATGCATTTGAATTGTGTTGCTGCAGAGCAGATGCCTTAGCTTGTATACCGATGCAATTTAAAAGTTTTTGAGAGAAAAATCCTGCATAGATGAATGAGTACATAAAAATATTGAGCACCAAAAATTTACACAACTTCCCCATCAGATATCTAATGGTCTACCCCCCTTACCACATATATCATAGGGCGCCAATTTTGTATAATTTTGTGTTATTTGCATCTCCAAAACTCCTACTTTTGTCCTACTTTTCTACACATTTTCCTACTTTATTCCTACTTTTCCTAAAATTCTAGTCCTACTTTTGTCCTACTTTTCTACACAAGGATGCCAGAAAGCCTGGTTAGATCGAGTCGATATACTATATGATTAGATTACTAGTCACATCATTAGTAATACTATTGGCACTACATACTGTATAGTTGCGTCAAGCTTTCCACCCGGGGGCCAGCTTTCTTCCGCCCTTTTGTCATCAACTGGGTGACAAAACGCTCATTGATGGTGTTAATATCCAGGGCAACAAGTTCTTTGAGGTTACCCTGATGATTAATTGGTTTTGGTAACTAGCATAGTTGTTTTTTTATTACATAATTCTCCATCCAGTAGTGTCACTAGTTGCTGGTGGGATGCAGGAGGAGGTACCATTGATTGGGTAGGCATTACGATTATCTTAGTTTATGCTTGTGATAGTGCCTGATTATTCATGCTGATTGATACATGAAAGCAGCTACCAATTCCATCTCTACTGGTGACAGCAAACAATGTTAGCACAGAAAAATAAACATAATAATATATTATGTTGTGTAATGTGTCTTAATTAATGTGTGTGACTTATTGTAATATTGAAGAAGCATGTTTAAAATAATGAAGAATTTAGCAGTTTATTCATATCTCATCTCATTCCCCAGCCTAGTCCCAGTCGTTCTGAAGCAAGCGCGAGAAAAAAGTGGATGTAGTACGAGACTGGGACCTAGGTGTGACGTCACCGCTCAAGGTGCTTCAGAACGCCTAGCAGATATCAGTATTTTTAATATGGCGGAAAATTTATATATACAAGTAACCTTTTAATTATAAATACGACAATGTTCGTTCATCATGTACATGTTCGATGTCTACATAACCAAATCAAACTGTATTAAAAATGTGCTCAACTAAAAAAAATAAATATACAAATTTAAGATACCGAGTTTGAGCAATCGTTGAAATCCAGATGTTATTTATGTACTCGCAAGTTGTGATCAACACTAGACCATACTGGTATACACAACTACGCTTTCTACTTGACAGGTTTAAATTGCTGATGAGATTGGAAATATTTGCCTGACATGACGGTGTTGTCAAAACATTCTTAGTCGGAGACTCGGCATAATTTTCAAGCTTCTAGATAGCATTTAATATGGCTATATATTTTAGTAAACACGAGTCATATTTAGCCCGTTATTCCATTCTGACCGTATGGCAGCGAAACGTAGCGTACTTCATTGTTCCGACAGCATTAGAGCAAAACTAATGACTTAATTATAAATGCAAAGGAACTTTCCATAACAATTTCCATTTACAAATGAGGTATGCTTGGTAACCATGCCAGGGACCACTTTTTTGAAATCAGGGACCATTTTACCGAAATCTGCTAGGCTCTCTCGCTGAAGCGTTCCGCACAGCACACCCAGGCATAAAACTTTTAAGACTTATTTAAATATATCAAAGCAGCGAATAGAGAGAGAGAGCCTGGGACTAGGCTGCTCATTCCCAAGTTATAAGTACTTTTTGTAGTTTGAGTTAGGTTATGACATTGACCAGTTGTGCTTGAGATGGCAGCAACTACAGGAGAAAGTCTAGTATCTTAGAGGTGCTTCAACAAAATGAAATGAAATTTGTAACAATTAATTAGTAAGTGCACTTAGCCAAACGTTTTGTTATGCATGTTTATAGTGTTGTCATGGTAAAGGTTTCCTTCTTACGTACAGTACATTTGTCTAATCCCTTGCTTTTGATGAAAATTAATATGTAATGCAATTTTGCAATTTTATTTATTAAATATAAACATTGTGACAAGTTTAAGCTATTCAATTAAAACAAGCGTTCGTTGCAAAGGGTCTGTAGCAAACATTATTTAAATAGAAAGAGAGAGACCTGGAAATTAGTCGGTTGTCATGATAACCATATAAACATACAAAAATGTTTGCTTAAGTGCACTTACTAATTGTACGAAATATCACAATATTTTATTATACTATTGTTGAATCAACTCTGAGATATTAGACTTTCTTCTTCTTGCTACCATCTCAAGCACAACCAGTGCAAGGGCGGATTTTCATTTCTTTGAAAGGAGGGATAGAAAAATTTCTGGTGGGGTGCAAGCGGCACCACTCAGTGAGTTTCGGCAGGGGTTAGGCATTTGGGTTAAAGCCTTTCACACAAAATAGGAGTGAAGCGAAATTTTGGTGGAGATGAACACTTTATTAGAGTGGTTAGAGTGATTATAGGGGGTTTAACCCCCCCCCCCCAACCCCCCAGTAAATCCGCCCATGAACCAGTGACGTCATAGCTCAAAATACAAAAGCCTGATAACTTGGGAATGAGATGAGATATGAATAAACAGTGTGAAACTAATTTGTCGTTAGTTTGAACATACTTTCAAGTGATGCAATAAAAAATAGGGGCAAAATTTCATTTTATAAACACTTTAAGAGATAAGTTGACAATTATATTTTCCTTAATTAAAGTTGAAAAATGTAAAGGCAGAAATGCAAAATTTTTACAAATGTCATCAATCAGGGCGTGGAACTTGCGTGAAATTGAAATTTTGTGACACTTCTAATTTAGAGACATGGAAGAGAAAAGTGAACATCTCGCTCTGTCCGAGAGAAAAAAACAAACAGACAATGAAGACCAGCAAGATATGCAGGACACATCTGCAACACAAAATTTGGTGGACTCAACAGATCACTTTAGTTGGGAAGAACAAGGATGCTTGTGTTCGTTTGTCCCAAAGCGGTACATGGTAACATTCTTGGCCATGTTTGGTTTCTTTAATGCATATGCCCTGAGAGTCAATCTGAGTGTGGCAATGGTTGCCATGGTGAATAATGTGACAAAGTTTGGACATAGTCTTGAAACTGAGGTTTGTAATACGTATAGGGCTGCTCCCAATTAGTAGATTAATCGATATTTTTTTCGTTTTTTTCCCCGCAATCCAATATATACTTAACAGTATTCGCGCTGCGTTGCCAAATCGGATTCAGTGTGTCTATAGGCCTTTACTCTTTAGAAGTGTCAAACGTAAACTCAACATCGTCATTGTCTTGTCAGTTGTTTAATTACTTGTGAGAGAAAGTGTGCAATCTATAACTTCTATAACAATCTATAACGCAAATACTGACTGAATTGTTGGGTGACAACAGGAGAGGGACATGTCAAATTTAAATTAATTACAAATAATATTCATTTATGCTATTCGAGGTTTAATTTATGATAAAATGTGGCATAAGACAAGTAGATAATGAATTGATTACAACCTCTTGAAATGTTCTCTGTTGTAGCATGAAAGCTTTAACTCAATTTCATTAGCTTTCTATACATATAACAATTTTGAAACAAAAAATGAAAACATTAAAATAATTGAAAATTTCTGTGTAGTCTGTTGACCTCCTCAGTATTTCGCCATATTGTTCATACGTCATATAATACAAAAAAAGGTGAAGCGAATACTTGATGTGAATTATTTACATGTGTAATTATAGTTCAATTTTATTTGTCTCAAGTAGTGATTTTTGCTTATACTGTATTTTCAAGGATGTTGCAGAGTTTAACTGGGACACCAAGTTGCAAGGTAGTGTATTCGCATTCTGTACGTTTTTTGTTGTGATGTTTCGGACCTAATTTCCATTTAAGAATAACGATTGGGAATTTTTAAAAAATCTATTCACTTGATAGATATAAATAAAAAGATAATTTAACTGATCTTCAATATGGTAGTATGAAACTTAAGTACTTAGTGCATGATCTTGCTTGATGTAGTAATCACAAATATGGCTTCATGCAAGATTTCGCATGCTGACATTTTCGAATTTTTGCAAGCCATTTAGGGTAGTATTATGTCACAGGGTTCGCCACACTCTGGTGGGATGGTTCCAGAGTGTGACAGAGAGAATACCTGGGTACGAATTTTAGGTTTAGGCAGTTTTAATTTTTATCCGCAGTGTAATTGGTACAATAATAAATATGTTTGGATTCAGCTTCACACTACGTTCACACGAGATCAGAGTCAACGGACGAATTCAGAACCTCACCCAAATTCTTCCGGTTCTATTTGTTCACATTCATACGGTTACCTGTGTTCGAATTAAGGGGTTTTTATACGTCGCATGACATCGTGTAAAGCGAAATCGTGCAAATATGGCAACGGTCCCGAAAGCCCCTCCGAATGCCTTTGGAAGGTTGTGGCGCGCCATTTTAGACTTTCAGATGCTAGGGCGATGGCAGGAAAGGCGGGGGAGGCGAAGGCGAGAGAAAGAGAGCAATTTGTATTTAATTTATTCAAAATGACGTCAATTAAGAACTATTAAGAAACTTTAAGTTTGATTTCGAGTTGTTGCCTGTTATTCTGGCCTTGTTATATACTGGCCGAAACAATCATTGTACGTTTTTCATTATCTTCGTATTCAAGTAAGAGTTAAAGACTATTAAGTGTTCTGCTATTTGTGGTTTTAAAGATATAGCACTGTTCAAAGTTAGACATATTTCTGGTATAAACTGGAGAGTAATTATAAATCAAAGACGCTGCTTCTTCTTCCGGTGTCGGAAACTTATGTTGACTCTGTCTGGCTTCATTTACAAAGAAATTTGACATGTACTGAGTGAGTTTAATTGACATTTCTTGGTGAGGAATATTTTCATTCAATGTCCACTCGAACGCATTTTTCTCCGCATGCCATTGAATACTCTTCCGATCTATATTTTATTCCCTCCATGGTCGAAACAAATTCCTCGCCATTTCTGTCGTTGTTTGTCGACAAAATACGGAAGAAATTCCTGATATTTTCATTTTCCTTAAATTTTGACACTAACACTGAATAGTGATGCATGTTAATCGTAGTTGGCGCTGTGGATAAAAATTTCGCCAAGTCTTCCGGAATGTCGCGAAATAATTTACTATTTCGATAATTTGACGATAAGTTAAGCGGTATTGTGTAATTTTCGGAATCTGTTCTCGACAGAAGGTGAACGTCGCTGCTGGCCAAAACCGATAAGAATTGATTCCCTAGACAGGTTCCCCAAATGGGAAAATAATCGCCCGCATCGTACGATTTCTTGGCTAAATTAAAAATCTGTTTTCCAATTCGAGCATATCCTGACGTGACAAAGTTGACACCTCCTCCAGGGAAAAGTGCGCCATTAATTGAATAAAACAGTTTCTCAGTTTCGTCCTCGTTAAGATCGTTCATTATTGGTACAACACGAGCTCCAGACGATTCCAAATACTTGATGTAAGAAGCAGCTATGTAGGACTGGCCAAGCTTCTCAAAACGTTCCCCTTTTGTCGATTGCGCCATAACTCCGATGATAGGCCGGTTGTTGGGAATGGTATGTAGCTTCACGTTGACTGGAATTGTTCTGCATGTATATACCATAACTAGCAAAAGAAAGCCAACAGTCAACTTCATCTTTTCTGCTCTTGATGATATTTTGGATTTGAAACGAGTTTGTGCTTTATTTACGCGCTTCTGATGAAGTTGTTGTCTCAACGTGTTTAAGCACGAAATTTAATAATATGGAAATTATTTTACAGGAATGCGGAAGTGCAGTGCGACTAGGACGAATTTGAGTATTCATTGTGACTGTCATGTGGCGTGAGTAAATATAGTCGTGTGCATACTAAGACGCTGTACAGCATATATTTTTCTTTCATTTCAGGCGCATTTTACTCTAAAAGTTTTTTTTCTCCCAAATTTGACTCAAATTTCGTTTTATAAGCAAAGCGCATGTAAAAAATAATAGATGTTGATCCTTGACCGATTGAAAAGTTAAACTCTTCAAAAACACTTTAAATGATTGTATTGACATGAATGAGCGTACAAACCATAGAACGACCTTGTGCAAACACAAGTATAACCCTGGAGTATACCCTGGAGTATAACACTGGAGTATAACCCTGGAGTATAACCTTGGAGTATAACCCTGGAGTATAACCCTGGAGTATAACCCTGTAGCTGGAGCTTCTGTGACATGGTAATTAATACCTCTATCCCTTTATTTTGATAAATATATTTACATAAGTTAAATCACAGTTTGGTTAAATTCTATCTTTTCACTTGTCAACACTTCACCGCCTTACGCAAAAAAGCGTGAAACACTTGTATGGCAGTAACTGAAGTAACTCCATCAACAGGGGTGGAAAAAATATTTTGCTTTCTGGGACCGCAAGAGAACATTGAAAATTTTCTGCAAATAATCAAGTAAATTGACACTCAGACTCTAACTGTGTGATGTTGTCAAACTGAATTTTGAATTTTAGAAGTCTGTAACAGCTATTTCCTGTGATTTCACAGAAATATCCAAAGGGAACAACACAATTTGTGTGGTTAGGGAAGCCTCGCATATCGGTTTTGTCAATGAGAAGTGTCATATGGACGTTTCTCCGGAAACCCCCCCACCACCACCACCACCACAACCACCACCACCCACCTTAGAAACGTCACATATAGTTATCCATATTTTGTTCTTATAGTAGCAATGCTTCCGCGAGGAATATGTCATCTTCTGCTGACATATTTGTTTTATTAATACACATGAACTCTCAAAACAACTTTTTTTGCTTGAAATATTGACACTGATTTTAGCGCATTTTTCAAGGCATTTTTCTTGAAATTTGAGTGTTTTTAATGCAAGGAAGGCATAATAATATAAATGTATAGAACAGGTATGGTATTACGAGTGTATAAACTGATGTTTGTATCAAGTTGTTTCCGCCTTTTTTATATTCTGCAAATATGATTCCGAAATGTTAAGGATTTCGAAAAAACTATCGATTTTTTCCATGATGTTTTACATAGAAACATCAAAGCTGCACCCCCCCCAAACAAACAAAATTTTTAATATTTTTTTTTAAACTTTTTGCATTTTAATTATATTTCACTATAGGCCTATATTATTCAACTTAACTAAAATGTAGCTAAATATAGTACTTCTTAATATGATCTTTCACTTGGAATTGCGTTAGGTCGACAATTGTTGTAGTGTACTGTTGAACAGGGGTGGAAAAAAATTTTTGTCTAGAAATTTTCTGTAAAATTTGCAATGTTACAATTACAAAAATAACAAAACAAATGCATAATTATTGTATTATTTATACTTTAGTAATAATAGGCTTTGGGCTGGTTTTAGTATGCTCGTACATCGCAACAGTTGTCTGTTATATACCACAGTTATGAGTTATGACCAACTAGTAAGGATCTAACGCTTAACTAAGTGTTCTATCATCTTATTTATTCCATCACTTTTATTTGTTTACTATTTAATTTGCATTTTATTGGAGACTTTGCAGAGCATATGTTTATCATTTTACCTCATTGTGATAGCAGGGGTGGGTAAAAGAATTAATTTGATAATTTCTGTCAAATATTTAAAGGGGTGCCGATGTTAGTGTGTACAGTGTAAATAAAGTAGAATAGTTGTAACTTGTAAGTTGAGTAAACAGAGTTATCTCAAAATGTTGAAATATTTTCTGGAAAATTTTCTGCAAAACTCTCAACTCAAAAAACTCAAAACAATTTCTGGGAACTAGGTTCCCAGGTTCCGATACTTTTTCCACCCCTGCTGTTGAATACCAAGATTTTGTTGGCATCTCAGTGATCTCACTCAATTGAATAATAGTTGAAGGGTCTTGTAGATGGGAATTATCGAGTGGAAATCTATATACATTTACTAAACCTAACCTGCAGGAACAATTGCGAAAAATGCAACTATGGCCCTGCGATTCTGGTGCAGCACTCTAACGAACTCGGATTCTAACCCCGATAACTGTGCAGTACTGTAACGTCGTTTACACTATAAAGCTATGCCTAGCATTCTGTTATCTATAACAGCGTTACTGGTATCAACTATGTATCCACAGACCACTACGCATAGCACTCTGGGTGCAAATCTGTACGTTATGTGGCTATGGCATTAATAAAATTGCTGTAGTGTAATATAGGTTATAAAATGCGGTCAAATATCTACATACACTGATACACTTTGTTAAGTCTAAATTGGTATAAGCGCTCCAGTTTCAATGCATAAAGCAGATGAACGACTCATGAACAGGCAGTAAGTAATACGCTCATACTTTATATCGCAGAAAGGTGCTAGAAAAGACGTCCAACTCTTCTATTCTTGAGATAGCAGGAGTTCGACTTTGGACAACAGCTGTTTCGAGCATGCGCAGGGCTAATTATCCAATCAGAAACCAGGATTTCTTGTATTAAATATTGTAACATCTCCTGCCTTCGGCAGATATAGCAGGAGTGACACACGAGTTGTATGTAAATCAATATATATTACCTGAAAATGAGCTGTTGCAGAGTTGCAGTTGCTAGGTAACAGGGCTGTAAAACTTTGTAAATGTAATAGAAAGCAGGAAATGAAAATAATGAATACGACCAGAAAAATTACCATGACTTTTTAAAGTTCAAGATTGGACACTTTGAAAGATGGGACAGTCTGAAACTTGGACAATCATTTCTCTATTTTGTGGAAAGTTTTAGTCCTGCTGAGCAGGACCGCTAGCTACACCCACTGATGAAGGGTCTGATCCTACGGTGAATAATATATTTTCAGGGCTCACATTGATACCAGTTCTTCTGAACTGACGTGACTACCCTGACGAAATAAAGTTGATTTGATTTGATTTATAAAGATGCTAAAAAGGCAATACTATGGGGCACTACCTAGCCTGCGTTTAGTACGGGCGGGAAAAGAGGAAACGCCTGCCCATGCAAATGGCTATGACAAATTTGTTTTCGCCCATTAAGGATGATTGACGTTTTGTAATTAGCACCTTCACCCAATCATAGTCGAGATTTATATTTAGCATCTTGCATGCTTTTTCGCCTTTTTGCTCGGCAACTAGGGAGATTTGCAGAGATTTTATTTATGTACTATTTAAAACATGAGCAGCAGTGTTTTATCAGATATAAAGATGGTCTGATAAAACCCGCACTGCGAATGTTTTAAAGTGCTTCAAAAACGATCGATCTAGTATAAGTTCATTGGCGAAATACCTTTCAAAAAATTCGTTGTGTATGTAGAGAAAATCAAAGTTAAAGTTTATGTATAAATCAAGGGAAATCTTTATCACATACAAAGATACACGTTTATGATTTTTCTTTGTGGTTTTTCCTCATGAATTATTGAGTTTTTGAAGCTATTTTAGACAACAGTCACAACACAGAGCTTTTATCTTTTAAAGGCTCCTGAACCACGGTTGTTTAATGTATTCTGCCGTATAGCAAATTAACTGCAATATTAAACAGTTGAGCATGTTTTGAAATATTATTCTTAAAATCATCATCCAACCTCATAGCTGCAATGCCAAGTGATATAGCCTCAACTATCTGGTCTTGAATTATACTTTAAAGTGAACAAATAACAAGACAACTATATTCTATAACTATAAGGAATATTCGATCCCTGCTCGGGCAAGCTTTGATTTGCCGATTTGCCGTATTCCGTAGGAAGAATCGCGATAACCGGCGTCTTCACCACGTAGCAAATTAATAATAGACTTTCTCTATTCTGGTTTCAACTGAATTTCGAAGCCTAAATACTTGAAATATAAGAGTTCCCTCGAAAGCATTAACAGGCGGCATATTTTCGATACGCGAGTAAAATTATTGTTGACATTTGAGTTACGTAATTACTTCCGTTAACGAGATTGACCAATGGGAAGCTTTTCCGAAGATTCTTCGGAGAAGAACAAATTAATCATAGGCATTTGGGCAGGCGTTTATTTAACGACGCCCTCTCTTCTCCCGCCCGCACTAAACGCCTGCTACGCAGGCTAGGAACTACCAGGGGAATCGATCCATGCTCCCCAGAAAATTTTGAAAATTAGCTGTTCCAGATTAGCTAAAAATGCATTGCACTTGCCCTATTAAGATGGATGCACTCATAATTGCATTTCTGAGGTCATACCTACTGTACAGGTAACATTCTTTCCATTGGTTAGAATTTTTCTTCTGAATTTCTCCTTTTATCTATTAAATTTTTACAATTATGTTTTTTTTTCTTTCTTGGGGAAATATTTTCTGGGAACTCAAAAAATTTTCTGGGACCAATGGTCCCGTGGTCCGATACTCTTTCCACCCCTATCCATCAAGTAAGAACTTATACATCATTAAAAAAATAATTAAACGCAATATGAGAAACAGCTGTCACTAAGGGTATTATATTTCCCAGCGTTTCTAAATTGACATCTTAAGCGAAATGTTTAAGTTGCTGCCCAAACCATTGAATCATGAGTGTCCCTTTATGTTGTGTGGCGTGGGTTAAAAGTCGTGTGTTGTGGATAAAGTCAGTTAAAGTCGTGGGACACTCATGATTCAATGGTTTGGGTAGCAACTCGAACATTTCGCTTGAGATGTTTCTATATACGTAATTGTTCTTGTAGAAATGCTTGCATGTACAACGATTATTATTCTAGGAAGAAGACCTCTAGGACTATCATTGTACGATAATTAAGTTTGGAAGAATAATTTTCCGTGACCATTTTTGGATATGTTGATCTTAGAGAAATTTCGGTTGAGATGAAGGCCATGCTTGGCATATTCAAGAACAAGCTTTCGTTGGCAGGGATGCAACTACCTGAAAAATATAAGGAGAATTTCGACGTTTCCATCAAAGGCCCTTCGTCTGGAGTTTCTACTCCATACCCTTCGTCTGAAGTTGCTACTCGAGACCCTTCGTCTCGAGTTTAATAATACTCCAGACGCAGGGCCTTCGCTCGAAACGTCGAAATTCTCCTTATATATTTTTCAGGTAGTTGTCACCCTACCAACGAAAGCTTATTATTATTATTAGCGCTACCTACGTGTACAGACCGTTCAAGATTATATTTAATTTCACCCCAACTCCGCGTTTTCTACCAAGCCTACTGTATTTTAACCGCCTATAGAGATGTTGGTTGTTGCTGATCAGAGGACAACTATATTACAGATGGTCAATATTATATTTAATAGAAAAATATACTCTCATTATATTATATTTGCTTCCATAAATACTATCTTAAAGCCTTTCGTCTCTGGAGCCTTATAAACTTTATGAGATCGATTTGAAATTATTTCGGATACTGAAAATATTATCGCACTGTGAAATTACTCTAATATGTACACATAAACAAAATATGTGCTTTGCAGTAATATTATGGCGAATACTCGACACTGGATTGCCAGATATATAAAATTGCGTTAATTAAGCCGAATTACATCTAGCCAATTAGATCAGTCTTGTGTAGTCGTGTGTTCAGCAGTGGATTTGATTCATATATAGACCAAAAAGCCAGAACCAACCCACAATTTAAGAAAATAAAGAATAAACAAAAAGTAAAGATGAAAACACCTTGAAACCAAGGGCAAGGTATCAGGGCCTCTTTTGAGGATGTGTAACTGGGGGGCATATTTCGCGGGGGACCTGGAGAAATTCCAGTCGGCAAGTCTGTATCACTGCAGCTACCAGCATATATATGCATGGTTTAACTAATAAGTATACGTCATAGGGCAGCAGATCAGGCATGTAACTAGGATTCTGAGACAACCGAGTCGAATACCGAAGGTGCGAGCCATCTAGAGGGGTCTGGGTGCATTCCCCCCTCAGAAAATGTTGGATTTCCTGAAGCTCAGATAAGCTATTTCCAGCATTTTGAGGAGTGTTCGAACAAAAAAATTAACCTTATGACACAATTACTGCAATTTTACAGTCTCCCAAATGTAGATGATGGTCAAATTCAGAAATGTTAACAACTTAACATAATTTTCTCACTTTGATATATAATTGCTGGTTGACCACCTACTGCAGGTAGTTCTTAGGGACCTTGTACTGGGGGGGGGGGAAATTGCCGACTGGAAGGGCCAGTAAGAGGGCTGAGGGGGGCGGACATGTTCCCCCTAATCTATATGTTAAAAGAGGCCTTGCAAGGTATGGGCTAGAACAAGACGTAAATTTAAATGTTTATTATAGTGGTTGTATCGTTTTGTTATATTTATAGTTTATTTTTGTATATATTTATTATTATAATCATGATTCTGTAATAGGATCGAAAATAAGCGTTTAAATTTATACGTCTTATTTTAGTCCATATGTTCGGTTTCAAGATGTTTTGGTTCAATTAATACTTGCATAATCATATCACTACCTGTGGCTGTTGCAACTAGATATACATATCAGTTCACTGTGAATTTGGTGGCCGGTACACATTCATGTGGTCCTTTGCCATTGGGTTCGACAGCTCTTTAATACATTCACCGATAGGCACTCCGCCGAAATGTATAACATCACTGAAACATGTATAGAGTAAATTGTATTCGATCTAAATACAAACATAAACTAATATAAATAAATTATAAATTAAAAGAAGTCTGTAACTTACTTCTTGGCAAGTTCAAAACAACAACATAAACAACATCAGAGACAGAGTCCAATTCTTTAACAGCGAAACAGCGTGCCTTGTTCAGCTTGTCCGTTTTCCGCGTTTTTGCATAATTATAGTAATTATATTTACAAATAACAAATTACGTAACTTTTCGCAACATTCATATGCCTATATAAACTCGAAACGAATAAACTATAAATTATGTGGTAAAAAAGTTCAACTTGGTTCTTTATTCTTCTTTTCTATCCGTGTGTCACATATTCATTTAATCTCATTTGATTGATCTTTCCATGTGTCATGGATTATAGTTCTCTCCATTCTATCCTGTTCTTTGAACTTTTCTCATGTACCGGTTATATAATAAATATGGGTTAGTTTATTAGACCTATTCTTCCATTGCATTTAGGTTTGGTTCTTGGTTCATTTTTCTTTGGATACATCACAACTCAGATACCTGGCGGATTTCTCGCTTCAAAGTATGGTGGTAAGAGTTTATTCGGCGGGGGAATACTTCTTGCCAGTATTCTCACCATGCTTACACCAGTGGCTACGAGGCGAAGTGTTTCTTGGCTCATTGCGTTACGTATCTTGGAAGGAATTGCTCAGGTACCATACAGCAGTTCTCATATGCAACTTCCGTAAATCCTTCATTAGTCGGAGGGGGGGGGGAGGCTTTTTTTTCCACTGAGCTCCCTGTATATCTCGAGTTTTGAGAACTTCAGTGATTTCGGCCTATGAGAAAAAGTGAAACCAAAATGGCGGAAATTGACGTCCGTAATCTATAAAGGTCATAAACAGTTTTCATACAATTTTTCCCAGCTGATTCTAATTTCTCCTAACGGATGTTATCGCTAATCAAGTTATCAGTTCATAAAACCACAATATTTCCTCTGACTCGAAGTCAAAATAGGAAATGTCGGCACTCTCCTGACAGCTTCGTGTCAACTGCGCAGACGAACATCACAGGCACAGGAAGGGACTGGCACTGGACGCCAATTTTCGCCATCTTGACCTTGTTCATGGGCATCATTTTTAATTTTGGACTCGAGATCTCACTCCAGATATATATGGAGCTCACTGTATATTTCAAGCACCTTTGAAGGGGTTGTATTTGAGAGGGGGGGGGGGGGCCTAATAGAGAGGGCGACTCATTTAGCTTTGCTGCTACACGGCGAAGATGAAGCGCAATGAACTAACTTTAGTCCAATTAAATTTTAGTCCAATTAATAAATCTAAGCCGTACACATGCTTTTCCTTAATAAACTGGGGCTATATAGAGGATTATCTTATAGTACTATAAAGAGTAAAAGTATTTTCGCAATGTTCATTCTACTCTCGGTAAGCACCAGTGAGGGTAGACTAGTGTAATATTGTAATAAGAGACTTTAGTAGGGACTATAACTTCGGCTGTACTTTTACCAGTTTGTGTTTTGATATCATTTTGTTACATGAAGGGTGTGATATATTCTTCAAATCATGCAGTGATGAGTCGATGGGCACCAGTCTTAGAGAGATCCAAAATGGTAGCGTTGTCTACTTCAGGTATGAGTAGAAACAGAATTTTATTTTATGAGGATCTGATTGGCTTTAAGCAGTGGGTGGAACGCCAGGCTAAAGATAAGGGACTGTCAAAAGGAGTAACGACAATTTCTATACCCAATTATATATTCTTGGATTTAAGCTTGACAAGAACGAATCTATAATTAATATACAGTATTGGTTTTAAATTTTATATGATATAAATAGCTAAACAAATTAAAATAATAAAGTTGAGAACTAGAGATTAGGGTAGGCTGACATGAGACATTTTTTAAAATTCTTTGTTATTTTGATTTGAAAAAGTGAGGAATAAACTTAACAACAATTTCTTATTGAAACTAAACAACTTTTCTTCCAAGAAAAAAGCGATGGATGGCTGTATGAAGATGTTTTGATATCTAGTCGGCATTTTAATTGTCAAGATTTTAAAACAACAACAGATTTTTTTCGAAAAGTAAGGTCGATAATTTTCAAACATGTTGATATCATAAACCATTTCATATAAACAAAAATTGAATGGGCATACCTTTTCGTCATGTTTTCAACGATTTCCATAAGAAAGAGTACAAGCTCAGCTGTTTTTCGTAATCGTCGAAATGCAAAAGTGTAACAGCCGTTTTATAACAAAATGGGTAAAAACACGAATGGCACTAAACTGCAATTGAAGAAAGTACTTTAAAGCATCCATTTCTTATAAAGTAAATAAGTTACGCTAAAAATGTTTTCTCTAAATTCTTAATTGCCGGTTTTGGTATCCATGTCTTGTGTCGTGAAGTTTAGAAACATTGCTTTGAAACACAACACCTTAAATATATATACCCGACGATTACCCGTTCCAAAAAAGGTTATTGTTTTGTTTTTTAAAACACCATGTTGCTACAATTTGCCAAATTTTCCATCGGATCGTGATATAGTAATATTATTAAAGTGGAAGTCAAGTCCGTTCTGCGCATCGGTTCTGCTCATAACAATGTGAGGACCTCTAATGTAAACATTGCCCAAATTTCGAATGTTTTGAATTTTTCTGAACATAATCTCTATTTCGTATTCATTTAGAAGCATAGCGAACCAAAGTGGTGTTAGATATTCAGACAGTACATCATATTTTAAAAAATACAGCTGTTCAAAATGTAAACAAACCGTTTGTTTACATATGGACTTGACTTCCACTTTAATATTATGATTTACACTGATGAAGGTCCGTTGCAAACCTATAGCTATATAACGAACGTATAAATTCTAGGGGCCTTCATTGGAACTTTATTTACAATGCCTGTATCAGGAATATTGGTAAAAATGTATGGCTGGCCTGCAGTCTTTTATTTCTTTGGTAAGTTTATTGTACTGTACCGTACCGTACCGTACTGTACTGTATAGTAATGTGTCAACTTGTATCAACTTGTATTGTATCAACTTGTATTGTATCAACTTGTATTGTATCAACTTGTATTGTACCAACTTGTATTGTATCAACTTGTATTGTATCAACTTGTATTGTATCAACTTGTATTGTACCAACTTGTATTGTATCAACTTGTATTGTATCAACTTGTATTGTACCAACTTGTATTGTATCAACTTGTATTGTATCAACTTGTATTGTATCAACTTGTATTGTATCAACTTGTATTGTATCAACTTGTATTGTATCAACTTGTATTGTACCAACTTGTATTGTATCAACTTGTATTGTATCAACTTGTATTGTATCAACTTGTATTGTATCAACTTGTATATTCTATGGTATAATAATTGTATATGTAATATAATCAACGTACAGTATATTGTACAATGTATTGTATCTTTGGCTTAATTGTCTTACAATCACACACCTTTTAGGTATTTTAGGAATTTTATGGAGTTGTCTTTGGTTCTTTATGGTAACTAACTCTCCGAGAGAACATCCGAAAATTAGTAGAAAGGAACTGAACTATATTGAGCGAAGTTTGAAAGGTGAAAGTGAAACGGAGGTTGGTACTGTTTATAAAACAAACTAAAATCAATTACGCGTATATTTACAATCATGGAAATTATTTCGTAGACTATTGAACAATTCCCCACATTTCCCCCTCCCCCTTTATACAATGTTGACTTCCAATAATCATGGTTTGAACCAACATTGTGCTAGGGGGAGGTATACTATTTCCAGCGATAATGGACGTGTATTATCTAAAAATAAAATGGCTTTACAAAATAGTATGACAAGATACGTTTTAAAAAAGTCTCCGGATACTATTTCCATGATTGCAGTTACATGCATATACTGTATACCGTTATACATTTCAAAAACGATTCTGTGATAATTTCGTTTGAATCGACATTTTATATTATTTAATGAAGTTGAATATGTTGGAAAGAGACAGATAGTTAAAATGGAACAACTGGCGACTAAGCAAGACAACAATAACTTGAAACACATATTTGTGGCATATATTTTGGGCAGAGAAGTGCTCGAAAACAGTTCCGGCCGAACTGTCTAGAGGCTCTCGCTAACCTAAGTTTTATCTAGAGAAACAGGCGAATCTCTAGACTGAAGAGGGCATGCTTGACTCTGTGCATGTCGTTCAGCGAGTTGAGACCTAGTTGGACTGGTGAACAACTATTGGTATAGGGCACATTATCCAGGGTACTCAAAGCTGGATGAGGATACATGCAAAAACTGTAGGTTGTTCTAGAGGAACAGGCAGACCTCTAGATAACAGGGGAACAGGCGGACCCCCGTTCAGAACCGTCAGATCGTCGACATTGAGACCTAGTTGGACTGGTGAACTACTATTGGTATAGGGCAGATTACCCCGGGTCGCAACTGATAACCTGACTGACCACATCGAGTCTCTAGGTCTGCTCAATCGATGCGACCTGAATGAGCAGTGATTGTGCTTGACGTGGTGAAGTGTTGTCAGAGGCGGACATATCGATTTTGACTGGGAGGGTGTAATCACGAAATGAGACCGACTCTGATCGAATTTCTTGATGTGCGTCGTTCACTGATCGAATTTCTTGATTGCAGTAGGCACATAAAACTCTTTGCTAACAAAGTGCATATGCATATCGTGTTACATGTGAACATACTTCCTAATATAACTCAGCTAGAAATGCGTTTTTGCACTTTACATCTTAAAAATATAGTTTAGGGACCGGAGAAATATTGTAACTAATGTTAGCTATTTTGATCATCGCATTTTGGAGTCTGATTTTGGGGGGTTTGAAATTTTCGCTAATATAGAATATCACCCGTGAATGACCTTGCAGAACCAAAATTCCAAATAAAATTGCCAACACGTAATCGTGACATATAGATATCTCCATGTTTGGAAAGTAAATCGAAACTTCATCCCTTTGCGCGTATTTTGAATGATAATTCGTTGATAAACTCGCCGTATTCGTTGATAAACGCGCGTATTTTGAATGATAATTCGTTGATAAACTGGTCCGGATGGTATACCAGGAAGACTTCTAAAAGCTATTGCAACCGAGATAACACCATCCCTGACTAAAGTTTTTAACTTATCGTTGTGTTCTGGAAAAGTGCCTTCAGCATGGAAAACAGCTCTTATAACTCCAATTCTAAAAGAGGGTAATCCCCATGTAGTGACAAATTATAGACCCATTTCCCTCTTATCGATTTTGTCGAAAGTCTTGGAGAGATGTATATACAATCATTGTTACGAGTTTATACAACATAAACTAACCTTCTATCAACATGGTTTCGTTCAAGGCAGAAATTGTGTTACCCAGCTCGTCCGATTTTATCATAAAATCCTTGAGGCTTTAGATAATGGGCATGAGGTTGATACAATTTACTTAGATTTTTCGAAGGCCTTTGATCGAATCTCACATCGTCCACTTCTTGACAAATTGAAACGTCATGGCTTTGGAGGAACACTTCATGACTGGTTTGCGGACTATATTACTGCAAGATCCCAAAAAGTTGTAATAGACGGTGCCTGCTCAGATCTACTAAGTGTTACATCAGGGGTACCCCAAGGGTCTATTCTGGGGCCTCTATTGTTTGTACTCTATATTAACGATCTTCCGGAGTGCATACATAAGCCAACAGATATTGCGCTATTTGCAGATGATTCAAAGGTGTCTCAGATAATTGGGAGTTCCAATGACGGTATCAACCTCCAATGCAACTTAAATCGATTACATTCCTGGAGCATTGA